CCTACCGATTGTCTCCAACCATGTAACCTATACACTTTGTTGGACCTTTCTGCTGATGAAGATGAGCAAGGAGTCTTTCAGTATTTCTTGATAATAGAAAAGCTTTCTGTTAAGTAACTTCATTTAACTGCTATAAGCACATTTATATTCATTTGTTATATGATATTTATGTTTCAGGTTGCGAGCAACTGATAAGTAACCAACGACTTAAAATACCAGCATTTTACAATACTTTAATCATTATTCCTCCTCTCCTGAAGTTCATATAAGGGTATATGTGTATGGGTATTGAATTGTTTGAAGTCTTAAAACAATTTTTCATAGATGTTTTAATTTTGACAGTAGTTAAAACTTAAGCATCGAAATACTACGCATGACCGTAAAGCTGGAACATTTCTGCTAAGAATTTTACAATAATATCTCTTTAGAGACCAAAATTATTTTCAAATTTAAGTTTATGGTTGACGCGCTATTTCTATATCACGGATTGCACTTCACTTTTCTACATTTTGAACTTTACTTCCTAAGTAGATAGAAAAACTTGGAATTTGTTGACATTCTATCCCTATAAGAATCCAAAATCTATCGGTACACATGTAAGTAGTGAGTAGTGTAATTTGTGGCTAGCAACAGAATCCAGGATGCCTGTTTCGTCCGTTCAAACTTGTCAGCCAGATATACCTGCAGCATGAAGAATATGCGGTGAGCATCCAGACGTCTGCATAGAAGCCCTTCTGGGAACAAACGTCGGAAACATGGACAGTTAGATTCCGACTCAGTATATGATGGTAACGTACCGGTGGCAGGACCTGAGGGTCCCGATTTCGATACCTAGTGCGGCGGATCACGGATGCGCACCTCTAAGGGGCTCCATACTAGGACGAAACAAATGTCCAGTGCTCTTAGGTTCCCAATGTTCCTCCAGCTAATATCATTTCATGATGAACTCCAACCTGAAACCAGTTAATAACTTTTCAAACTTTTTAAACCCCCCCCCCCCACACATATATGAGTGTTTGGAATTATTTTTATCTTAACCGAGACGGCAAAATCTGTCACCAAATACCTGCGTTGCTTTTTCATTCTGTACATATGTTGAAGTGTTGTTTGGGTGCATCTAAGTCAACTCACGAAGCGGTGCCGAACATTAAGTTTCATATCAAACCGTTTGGTTTTATCTAGTAGCATGCGCGTGATGATGAGCATAAATTAGTTTTCCCTATATCTTAAAGTGACAAAAAACCTATCAGGATCTTATCTTCACTTTGCTCATACACAAATGTTAGTAAATCATATGCATTTCACGTAGCCTGGTGTATGTCTTGTAGCAATCCATCTTCAAACATTTCTGTAGGTAGCTGAGCTGACATACATGTATAGCTTTTCCCGCTTTCATGAAACCATATTTTTACTTAATCAGATATAATTGAAAACGGAATGAATCTAAATTACATCCCATGCATTTAAAATATTAAGAAAACGTTTATCAACAATCTTTAACTTGTATAAGAGTAAAATCAAACACCATAGCAGAATGCAATTCCTTTTCACCTGACTTACTTGATGTATCACACAGAAAAACTGTATAATTCAGTAGATTGGGTTTTGGAAAAAATCTGTTATTCATTTTCATATGACTATGGAGAACTTGAATAACTTGCATAGATGTACCTAAAAACTACTCAGAGAGATCAGTTTTGCTTGTCAGCAATATACAAATGTTGAATAGTCATTTCCACAGTTTCGTAGAAACCTTATCACTAAATTACACTGAAACTGCTTGACCAAATCTAGTGAATCATGCAAGTGATTTGTAGCCAGTCTCCATGATGCATTTTTATACTTGTGCTCTCAATGTAATAAGCTGTGTTGAGTATATTCCACTTTTTATTGAAAGTGTGTAATTCACATCTCAGTGCTGCCCAGCTGGTCAACAGTTCTGTGCTCTGTTATTCATTCGTTTGGAATTTATACTAGATTTTGATGACTCACTTGTTTAACTGCCATCAGAGCCTAGCACTTACAGAATTCTATCGACTGCATCAAAGAGTTGCATCACCAGACTTAATGGCCACTAAGAAAATCTGATTATTAGACTCTGATCAGTGCTGAGCACAAATAACTAGGCAGGTACATTAGCTATGGAACAGTAGAACAGTTCATGTGTAAGCTGTGTATTGATAATGAACACAATGTTATGTCATTCAGATGAGTTCAAATGCACTGGCAAAGGTCGAAAGTTCGTATCATAAGACACTAACAACAAGGCGTCTTTGAAACAGTTTTCGTAATTACAAGATCTAGAATACCATAAAGAGCAGTATCTGTCACTTTCCATCATCTTATCTAGAATTCACTTAATCCTTGTAGAAGTTTGGGGTTTCCTGACAGAATATTGAGGATTATCATAGTGAGGTTCAGATGTCGCAAATATCCATTGAATCTAAGTTGAAGAAATTTTCAATCCTAATTTGTATTGCCCTCACTTTTATTTATCATTTTTACAAAAACTTAAAACAAAAAAGCTAAAATGTTGTCATTTTGATTCCCATAGAACTGCAATAATTTATTCGTGTATACTGAAGTAAATCAAAGCATAAAGTCAATGTTAACTATTTTTTTTTTAAAAAACCATAATATTTCACTCTCTTACCATCCCAATCACCTTGACAGTCCACAAACTCATATTTCAAATAACTATTCACTTGACGGAACGAAAATAACTAAGTCTATTAATCAGTTTCTTCTTCTGACCATATCTGTAAGGAAGATTTCACTAAAATAACAGGAGGTTGAAACAACAATGATGGTGGTTATAATAATAATGTTGCTAGTGGAGAATATTGCAGCTCAGATGGATGGTTTCGATTGTACTGTGTTCTCGGAGCTGGGTTGTTTAATCGTGAAGTTTTCATCGTCTTTCTGGATGACATCATCACCATTAACTTCAGTATGAAGTGAGCTGTCAATATCTCTCCGTGAGTGATTTAGTGGCTTGCTCTGAAGATGTGGTCTGTGATTGTTTGTTTCCTTCGATTGTTGTGTCATTGACTGTATAGACTTTCCAGTTGACTGTTCCTCTGCTTGACCTATGACCTTTCTGCCGTTTATCGTTTTTTTCATTAGTTGATAGATTGGGTCTATACAACGACTTCATTATCAAGCTGTGCAGTCGTATTTATACTCGGTAAAGTGACAGATAATTACACTAAAAAGTTGCTCAGTCAATATGCAAAATATACAATCGGTGTAGGTGGTGGTGCGTGTTCAAGTGGAAGAGATAGAAAATGTGCCATTGAAAAATGAACGAATGGATAACAAGTGGTGAGATAAGCGACAAGTGCTGTCAAAGAATTGTAAAACGGTGATAATTAAGCTGAAACGTGTAAAATAGGTCAATGATTAAGGAATGAATTGATATTAAAAAGTGAAATATGGGTCAAATATTGTCAATGAAGCGAAAATTGGTGATAACGATGATAATGGAAGAGAAGTATACCAAAGTGAACTGAAATTGACGAAATCAACAAAATGAATTATTAAAGTCAATGTAGAGAAAGTGGTTTCATAAGACGTTTTTGAATGCAAAGTTTTGCCTTTTGTTCATGTATAGCTAATGCTTCAGCTATACATAAGTGGTAGAAACTTAAACCTTTGGAGTAGTTCAGTTTAACTTTGTAAATTATTTTAAAGGATGAATCTCGAGGTGCCAATTGTCCCAATTCAACAAGGTGTTCACATATGGATGAAGTCGTTTTCCTTTGCTCGCCTCTGGTAAGCCA